AAAATATGCCTCTCTGAGTCTTGAATATGCCATGAGAAAAGAAAATCCTCTTCCTCTTAGTTGGATGACCCCTTGTTCGGAAATTATGCCTTCTGGGCCAAAGTTCACCCATAAGGTGAAACAACCTACCCTATCAAGCCCCCAAAAAATCTTTAGTGTTTCAATAAGGTTTCCTCTCATTCTTCTAAACTCCAATGAGCCCAACTGGCTCAAACTCTTATCATATGAGAGTCCCTCCATACCCAGGATCAGCCTAGTAAACTTTCCTCGGACTGTCTCCCTTTCCACTACATCTTTCTTTAGATAAAGGGGCCCAAAACTGCTTATAGTATTCCAATTATAGTCTCCCTGGTGCCTGTATGGTTGTGGCAAGTTCTCCCTATAATTATAATCCTTTCCCTTTGAAATAAAAGTCAACATTCCATTTATTTATTAATTTTTGCTCTGCTTTCAACACCATAATTTCAACCAATCTCATCTCCAAACTCTGAGACCAAGGACTCTGCTCTCCCCCCTGCAAGTGGGCCCTCAACCAACAGACCGCAATCAGTAAGGATAGGTGACAACATATCCTCCACAAATAATCCTCAACACTGGTGCCACAAAGGCTGAATACTCATCCACTTACTATACTCCTTATCCATTCACGACTGTGTGGTGAAATTCTGTTTTAACTCCATTTACAAATTTGCTGATGACACCACTGGAGAGTGAGTCAACTCTCAAAACGACAAGACAGAGTACAGGAAATAGGCAGACAGGTTAGTGGCATGGTGCAAAGAAAACAAACGATCTCTCACCCAGTGTCAGAAAAATGAAGGAACTGGTCACTGACTTCAAGAAGCAGAGTGGAGGACATGCCCTTGTCTGTACCAATGGTGCTGAGGTGGAGGTGGTTGAGAGCTTTAAGTTCCTAGAAGTGAATATCACCAACAATCTATCCTGGTTTATCCACATCAGCACTACTGTCAAAAAAGAACACCAATGCCTCTACTTTCTCATTGTGGCATGTCCACAATGACTCTTGCCAATTTTTAACAGATGCACCACAGTTTGGTATGGCAACTGCTCTTCCGAAGCCACAAGAAATTACAGAGAGTTGTGAATGCAGCCCAGACCATCACAAAACCAGCCTTCCTTCCACTGATTCCATCTACATTTCCCGCTGCCTCGGGAAAGCAGCCAACAAAATCAAAGATCTCTTCCACCCTCTTCCATCAGCTGAAGATACAAAATTTTGAAAACACATACCAATAGATTCAAAAACAGCTTCTTCCCCACTCTTATCAGACTTACAAACAGACCTCTTAAATATTTGAGTTGATCTTTCTCTGCACCTTCTCTCTAGCTGCAACACTCTATTCTGCATTCTGCTCTATTACTGGTTAGCAATCAAAACAATACTTTTCACTGCATTTCAGTACATGTGACAATAATAAATCAAATTAAATTTATGTCCCTCCATTATCTGAACTTGGATGCTAACTTTTTGTGATTTACGTACAAAAACTCCAAAAATCCATCCGTGCTGCAGTTTCTACAGTCCTCCTCTGTTTAAGTAGTATTTAGATCCTCTGGACTTCCAGCCAAAATCTATAACCTCACATTTTCCCTACATTATATTTCATTTGCTAAGTTTTTGCCTACTCACTTAACCTGTCTATATCACTCTGAAAACTTGGTGTCATCCTCACCACTTGTCTTCCCACCTATTTTTGTGTCATCCACTTGGTGATAGGAAAAGTGACTTTTCCTATTCAAGTCATTAATATATATTGTAAATAACTGTGGCCTCAGCACAGATCCTGTGCACTTCACGAGATGTCATCCTGAAAATGCCCTCTTTATCCAAACTCTATTAGTTAGCCAATCCTCTACCCATGCTAATATATAACACCACCATAAAGTCGAATCTTAAGTAGTTTAAGATGCTGTAACTCATTAGGCACCTCCTAAAAATCCAAATATTACATCTATTGCTTCCCCTTTATCTATCCTGTTTATTATAATCTCAAAAGAATTCTAATAAATTTGTCAGGCATGATTTTTCCTTGTGAAGCATGCTAATTCAACTTGGTCATACCTTTTTTTTAAATGCTCTACATTTTCCATAATAACACCTATTTTTTGGGAAAATGTTAGGTTTTCTGGCCTATTGTTACTTGCTTTTGGTCTCCTTTGCTTTTAAAACAAAGATATTACATTGGAAGTTTTCCAATCATTTGGGACTTTGCCAGAAATTAAAAATTCTTGCAAGAGTAATACCAGTGCATCCACTAGCTCTGTAGCTATTTCTTTTAATATTCTAAAATGTATCCAATCAGATCCAGTGCACCTGGCAGTCTTTAGTTCCATTTATCTCTATTGATTGCATAATATTTAATTGGCTCTCTGCTATCGTTGTCTTCTACAAGGAATCTACATTAACGCTGGCCTCTCTCTTCATTTAATATACTTAAACAAGTTCTTGCTGCCCATCATGATATTACTTGAAAATTTACTCTCAAAGTTTATCTTCTCTCTTTTTTATTTGGTTGTCTTTTGTTGGTTTCCAAACCTTTCCAAATCTCTGGTTTATCTCTGGTTTACCACTGATCTTTGTCACATTGTAGGTCTTACCTTTCAATTTCATACCAACCTGAACGTCCCTGGTCAACAATGGTTAGCCTATCTTTTTCTTAGAATCCTTCTTTGTCTCTTGGATATATGACGTTACTGTGAGCCTTGATTTTCTTAAAAAGATGTGCCATTGTCCCACAACTATCTTTGCTGCTAAACCTCATTCCTTTGAATTTAAACTTTACACACTTGTTTCCAACCCATGGTCCTCCCTCTAAACTGAATGCTAAATTCTACCATGGAATTTCTACCATTTCTAGGGAATCTTTTTCTCTCAGATTATTTATTAAACCGGCCTCATTACACAACACAGATCTAAAACGGCCTGATCCCAGGTTGGATCAGCAACATATCATTCTTAAAACGAGTCCTGAATACACTCTGAATTCTTCCTCGTGGCTACCTCTGCCAATCTACAAGAGGATAAAGTCAACCATGGTTAATCTACTGCCATTTTTACATGCCATCTATCTCCCAATTTAGTTGTTGTCCCACCATAGTTGTTAAAGGGCCTATGGGCTACTCCTGCCAGTGTCATCTTCCCCATTTTATTTCTTATTTCTAGCTATGTGGATCTGATCCAAGATCATTTCTTGTTATTGTACTTAATCCATCCCATATTAACAATACAACCCTCACCATCCTTTCCTTCCTGCCTGTCCTTTTGAAAAGATACATACCCTGAGCATGTAATTCCCTATTTTGATCTCACTGTAACCAGTTGTAGTTGGTTGGCTCACAGAGCTGGTTCGTTGTTCCACAGACGTTGCATTACCGTGCTGGGTAACAACATCAGTGCAGCCTCCGATGAAGCGCTGTGGTGTTTTCCCACCTGTCATTTAAACTCTGGTGTCCGTTGAGCTGGATTACCTCACTTCTGGTTTTCCTTCACAATGGAGTGTATACGGGGTCCAGCTCTGTGTTTATTGATCCATCAATAAGCTAAAATCACTGTAACCAGTAATGACAGTAAGAGCATAACCATTAACCTGTTGTTAATTAATTTACTTTGTTCTGAATACAATATACCTTTAAGTATACAGCCATTAAATTTTGCATTATTACCTTTTTTTAACCCTTTGACACTAGTTACTGTTGTTTTTCTAAATTTGTACACTCTGCTCTTTCCATTTGCACTGTGGGTATTGTTATTTAAATAGTTGCCATATCCTTTTGCTTTGCAAGCCTGTATTTCCCTTGCCCAAAAACTTCCCACCCTGTTATAAAGTTTAAGACCCTCTCTACAGTCCTGGTTACACTATTTGCCAGAGGGGAGGTGATGGTCTAGTGGTATTATCATTAGACTGTTATGCAGAGATCTAGTAAGGTTCTGGGGACTCGGGTTAAAATTTGGCCATGGCAGATCGTGGAGCTTGAATTCAATGTATATTTGGAATTAGAAGTCTAACAAATGACCATGAAACTATTGCTGGTTGTCAGAAAAATCCATCTGGTTCACTAATGTCCTTTAGGGAAGGAAACTCCTGTATGACTCCAGACCCACAGCAACGTGGATGACACTTACCTGCACTCTGGTCATTCAGGGCCTGGCCAGGGACGTCCAGGTCCCATGAATGCATAAAGATATGAAGCCCATTCCACTGGAAAAGCTCCCTTTTATCCTAGTACTGGTGCCAGTGAACTGAAACTCTCACACTCACACCAAACTTTTAGCCATACATTTAACTCCTCAGCTTTATTAACCTATGCTAGTTTTCCCTTTGGCTCAGGTAGTAATCCAGAGATTATTTCCTTGGTGGTACTGTTTTTTAAATTTGGCTCCTAACTGTTCAAAATCTGTCAGCAGATCTTCCTTTCTACTACTAACAAAATTAACCATTAAAAGAACGAATTACAACATAACATTCAACCACACTGCTCAACTGATCTAATACAAAATGAAGAATTTTTTTTCAGACAAGTAGGTGGAGTACACAAAGATTCAAGCATCTTGCTGTGTGGACTACTTTTTGTCCACTTTGAATGGTAGCTTCAGGAGTTTTTGCTATAGACATTTTAAGTCATTTTGACAGGCAATGTCTATTAGAATTGGTATAAAAATCACAGAAGGAAAATCAGGTGCATACAAATGCCAGAAATAATTTGAAACCCGATTGTGTGCAGAAAATCTTTAATAAAAAAGGAACACTGACTTTACTTCCTTGTCAGAAGTGTTTCCATATGATACAATTCCAACAGAAAAGGAAATATTGTTCTCATATTGAAGTTGAAGTTGCACTAGTGTTGCAATACAATTGAATAATTGCAGACTTTAGTAACGTCACATCATAATAAACATGTTTCAAATGAGCTTATAAATTAATTTCAAAACAGGACATCAAAACATACTGAGCACAGATAAACTGTTATAAATGACTCACAAATAGAGGAACACAAGGCTGGCAGAAGGAGGTCCTATCTTTGGGATTGCAGTCAACTCGTTATGATCAAGTCGTCTGCAACAGAAAACAAACGAAATCCATGATATATCTCCCTCTTTATTTTTCACTTTGAGCATTGTCTGAATTATAGGCCATGTGATCGACAGCTCAATACTTCACTGCTGTTCCATAACATTTCTGCTCCTAATTGTCAGTATTCCCTCTTATTCACATTCAGAAGAGTTTGAAAATGCATTACTTAGAATACCATTATCAGTACCCATCCAACAACAGTATATTAAGAAATTTAGTCTTTTTTCACTTTAACATTTTAGTCAACACAAAATGCTGATAGTTGGGTAGTCCATGATGGGTGGACAGATAGTAAAAGCAATGGTAACAGAGAAACATTAAGAAAAATAGCTCTATGGAGTTAGATGGATTTAAAATGATTAGGAAGGCAGATTTAACAGGTTAAAATGGCAAAATACTCTCAGCTTGAAATAACCAAATTTTCAAATTAACAGCCAGATTTTTAAACAGAAGTTTAAACATATAAATAATTTGCAGATTCTAACACAAAAAACTCCAAAACATGTTGTGGTATTGTGTTTCTTCATCATAAATTTGAAAAGCTGGAATACAGCAAGATTTCCTCAAACTGTGATTGGCATCCCACTTCAAAATAAAACTTAATTTCCATATATTCAAATTATGAGAGGTTCAAAAATCTCTAGTAAATGACCAGAAGCTGTTTTGAATATATTTTGAAAATATGCTTCCAATGTGTTGAAAAATACGCTAATCACAAACACTTTCAGTAAAATTCTTAACTTTCCAGGTAAATGAAACAGAGCAGGAGAAATCAGCAGATGATCTGTTATGTGGATAATAGTTTCAGCATGCACAACAGTAATACCCATCTGAATATGGCTAAGTCCACGGAGGATGACGGTTGAAGTGATAACAGAAGACTTGAGCTTATAAAATCCCTACAAAAAGGATTTTGCTGACAGAGATGTGACTGTGAAATGGAAAATGCTTTGGAGGTGAAAGCAAGTCACTTCAGGATTTGAAAAGAGTGTCAAGATTTTACTCCTTTACTCATTCAGTTACACAAAAATATTACTGTCTAGTAAGTGGTTCCAGCACAGCACATTTAAGCGATATACATAAGGGAATATGATCATTTGTTCCACATGACCCCCAAAAAAATCAATATACTAAGCTGAGATCAAGACATCATTTAAGAAATGTAACATAAATATCAGATTTTAAGTCACTCATCAAAGAAATAACATTAACATTATATTAGCTTTTCATCCTATAGGAAGCAGAGCATTGCCACAGCTGAGTACTGGGAGGGATTAGAATGTGAAACCAATAATCTCAAGCATTCTTTCCTTTTAAATTCTTTCCATTTCTCTCTCCCCTCAAAATTTTAAATAAAATTTGGATATATCTGATAAGGAGAACAAATTTCAATGATGGTTGATTTTCTTGAACATCAGCTGACCTTCAAACCAAATTTTCAACTCCATGTACACTGTAGTTCTCTTGCTCAATTTATCAACTTTTAACTTGTTAACTGGAAAATAACTTCTAAACATTTCTTTCCAAAACAAAAAAAAACTCCTGAAACTACTACATTAGCACGTAAGCAGCTATCAAAGTGAAACTACCGAGGTTAATCATTTAGTCAGCTTGTGCAAAGCAGCAAAATCTTGCTTGCATTTAGAATTGAATATTTATATTTAAAAAGTAGATCAATGAAAAGATATAACAAAGCATAATTTCAGATTTAAGTATTTTAAGACGCATGGGCCCATGCTATTTTCACAAAATACAAAAAGAGTCACATAGATATACAACTAAAACATTAATTTTAATACATACATTTCACGAAGAGTGTGCAGTTCTGCGAAAACAGAGGGATCAATTGTTGCCAGTTTGTTGTAGCTCAGGTTTCTGTAAAAAACATAAATGCAAATCAGATAACATTCAGCAGAATTCAACTAATACTGTTAACTCTATTTCAATGCATTGTGAGGCAATTTCATTCAAGCAAGGTGTTTCAAAAGTAATTTCTCCTAAAAAGAAACAAAATCACCGTTAGTACATTTGGTTGTTGCTGTTTTCGACTGTAACTTACAAATCATCAGCATATAAAAGCAAATTTTACTTCAGCAATCTTTTTTGGGCCAGAACAGTTGCATCTTAAATTTTCATTACCATGAACAAATTCTTGAACTCTCAAAAGCAACATGCATTTATACAGTACCCGAAGGGCCTTCAAACTGCATCACTATGAAAATGGACAGGGCCAAAAGAAGTGTAACAAGAATGTGTACCCACAATGGTAGGAGTCAGATTCTAAACAGGGCCTTAGATGAGGCAAGCAAAATGGAAGAACAAACCAATTTAAGGAAGGGGATTCCAAAGCATGGAACCAAGACAATGAGAGCATAATTTCCGAAGGTGGAACAAAAGGATTGTGTAAATACATAGAAGATAAAAACTGAGAAACATGGAATGTGAGGTAAAGTGGAAGGAAAGATTGTGGTGCTGGAGGAGGTTAAAAGTTTTGAATGGTAAGGCTATCAAGTAATTTAAACAGAAGGATAATAATTCTTAAATTTGTGGCATGAAGGAACAAGGTTCAAATCTAAGTCAGCAAGAGGACAAGCACCTTTAACATAGTAAGGCATTCCAAGACAGTTTACAGTGTACTCAGGTTAAAGAGGAAGATATTAAGATTGGTAGCTGGGTTAAAAAGGGATAGTTTTTTTTGAAACAGCAGAGGAAGATAAGAAAATCTAATAAGATTAAAATGGGAATTTCAGCAAAGATCTGAATAAGGACACTGAAGAAAACTACAAAAAAAATGTAGTCAAATGTTAGCTAGTGTTGGCATACCACAACTTTTTTGCCTGAGACCTTTCAAGAACAAAGACAACTTGAAGTCCATCAATTGGTAACTGTAGAAATGCATCCTGTTTACCTCTGGAAGAAGTTGGTTGGTGTCTTCACTCCGATAGCAACAGCTGAAATCCAACCATTACTTTTTTTTAAAAAGTTCCCATGCCCCTTTTCTCACACTCAACCTTGGTAGTGTTCTTTAATATATGCCTCAAAACAGGAAACTGAATAGACTAACAAATTATATAGTACAATGAGATTCATTACCTTAAATTTGTAGCAAATGCAGTGAAGAAACTTCTAAGAGTCCTACTACTGTCTGAGTGGCCTTACTGAAACATCATTAAGTGATTTTTTAAAAAAATCTGTTGTCAAATCACAGAAACATAACAATTTAGGAGGTGGCCTTGTGATCCAATATCCATTATGCCCCACTGACTTCTTTAAAATCAGGGCCTTTACAATGTAGTCTTGCCACATCAGTGCTCCCATATGGAATTACCCTGAAGTCCACTACTTTCATCACAACTATGCGTCAACTTTAATATCATCTGAGACCTATATACCCAAGACGGAGCTGGATTTTCACATTTGTGGAGACTCCACAGACCTTAACAAAAAAAAAAGGCAGGATTTGATTGTGGTCAGACCCTGGGACAGTGTCCTTCATACAGGCTGGCCATCTAAACTCAGTGCTGAATTCAACCAAGGATATATTTACTCTAGCAAGAGCCCTAACCTGTAGAATGCAAGTTACAAATTAACGAAAATGCGAATACTCACAATAGGGAGGTACACCAAACTGTCAAGCTGCAATTATTTAAATACACAAACTTTTAAAATTGAGGAAGTAGTAACCTGTGCTGGCGTGAATTGAAAAATAATCTGATTTACATTAGCTGTTAGTACATATTACTGCAAGGGCTATCGTTTCCGATGATTTAAAGTTGGGCTGCATTCATAACCTACGATTATCCCAGCAGGAATATTTCACGTTTATAATTTGATTGACAATTGTTGGAAATATATATCTATGTTTATGGACTATGCAGGAAATTCTCCGTGTCCACGAGATCATGACTTGTGAATTTGCCTACCCATGCCAAAATGTAACAACAAAATTCAACGTCTGTGGGCAAAACTCATGTATCTGCGATTTTTAACCTGTATTTTTAACACGCTTCGCACTCGCGAATCTCATCATTCTCAGGAACGGAATGCTTGCACATAGAGAGAAATATGTGGAGAACTGTAAGATAGTGAATTAGTTGGATATTTTCTGAGTTAAAAAGATTTTGTTTACAAAGAGTACATTGTTTCTTGGAAATTAGGCAAGCCATTTAAATGTTGCTGCGATACAACAGCTGATGCAGAAAGTCAAACAACTTCAGCAAAAACAGACAAGCAAAGCTTCTGGGAAGAGATATGGTCATGATATCATACTGCACGGAAACAGACGCTTTGGTCCAATTTGTCCAACTTGTCAATGTTGACCAAGTTTCCCAAACTAAACTAGTTCCATTTGCCTGTGTTTAGCCTGTATCCCGCTAAACCTTTCCTGTTCATGTACTTGTTCAAATATCTCTTAAATGTGCAACTGTACCTGCATCTACCATTTCCTATCACAATTCATTCCATATGTACACCAACCTCTGTGTGAAAAGGTTGCCCCTCAGGTCTCTTAAATCTTTCTCCTCTTACCTTAAAACTATGCCCTCTACTTTTGAACTCCCCTGCACTGTGGAAAAGACCTATTATTCCCCTTGTCTATGCCCCTCATGATTTAATAAACTTCTATACAGTCACCCTCAACCTCCTATGCTCCAGGGATATAAGTCCCAGCCTCTCCAACCTCCCCTTATAACTAAAACCCTCCAGTCCCAGTAATATCCTGGTAAACCTTTTCTGCACCCCTCTTCAATTTAATAATATCCTTCCTATTAGCAGGGTGATCAGAACTATAAAGCAGGCCTCCAAAAATGGCCCCACCAATGTCCTGTACAGCAACGGTATGACATCCCAACTCCTATATTCAATGCTCTGACCAATGAAGGCAAATGAGCCAAATGCTTCTTCACCACCCTGTTTACCTGTGACTTCACTTTCAAGCAACTATATACCTCAACCCCTAGGTCTCTTTGTTCGACAATACTCTCCCTGGCACTGTCATTAATTGTGCAAAGTCCTACCCTGGTTAGTCTTACCAAAATGCAATACCGCACATTTATCCAAATTAAACTCCATCTGCCATTAATTGATCTACTGGCCCTGCTGATCAAGATTGTGTTGTACTTTGAGATAACCTTCTTCAGTGTCCACTCTACCAGCAATTTGGGTGTCATCTGCAAACTTACTAACCATGCTTCCTATATTCTCATTCAATTATTTATATAGTGATAAACAGCGGACCCACACAAATCCCTGTGGAGCACCACTAGTCACAGGTTTCCAGTCCGAAAAACAACCCTCCACCACCACCACACACTGTCTCCCATCGTCAAGCCAATTTTGTACTCAATAACTGGCTCTCCCTGTATCCCATGTGATCCAACTTCATTAACCAGTCTACCTTGTGAAGCCTTATTGAAGGCCTTGCTAAAGTCCATGTAGACAACATCTACCTCTCTGTCTTCATCTGTCTTTTTGATCACGTCCTCAAAAAACTCAACCAAGTTTGTGAAACAGTTTCCTACACACAAAGCCAAGCCGACTATCTATGATCAGTCCCTCCAAATGCATGTAAATCCTGTCTCAGAATCCCCTCGAACAACTTACCCACCACTGACATCAGACTCAAAGGTCCAGAGTTTCCAGGCTTTTCCTTACAGCCTTTCCTATATAAAGGCACAATATTAGCCACTCTCCAGCCTTCCAGCACCTCACCCGTGACTGCAAGTGAAACAAATACCCCTGCTAGTGGCCCCACAATTTCTTCCTTAGCTTCCCACAATGCCACGGGATACACTTAATCGGGTCCCAGGGACTTATCTACATTTACGTGTTCTAAGACCTCCAGCACCTCCTCTTCTGTAATGTGGACTGTTTTCAAGACATCACTATTTATATCTCCAAGTTCCCTGGCTTCCATGTATTTTTCCATAGTAAATACTGACAAAACATTCATTTAGTATCTCACCCACTCTCCTATGGTTCCACATATGGATGGCGTTGTTGATCTTTAAGGAGCCCTATTCTCTCCCCAGTTGCTCTTTTGCCTTGAAGTGTACTTGCAGAATCTATCTGGATTCTCCTTAGCCTTATCTGCCAAGGCTACCTCCTGTACCCTTTTTGCCCTCATCATTTCCCCAAGTATGCCCCTACTTCCCCAATACTCTTCAAGGGATTCACTAGATCCCAGCTGTCCATACTTGATGAATAGGAGTTCAGGACAGTGGCCAATTACATGAGGTTATTGAGGGCCCCGCACAAGAACTGTCTTAGCAGCAGAGCGAGCTTGGGGGGAGTGGTCTGTTCCACGCAATTATCGAGGGCTCCAGACAGGCAGCATCTTAGCAGCGGCAGGAGAGGAATCACGACAGGGAGCAGGAGTCCTGGAACCATTGTCTGTGTAAGGCCAAATCCAGAAGGCAGTGGGACCCCCACACTGTCACTCAGAACAAGAGACAGCTGTGCCTGATAGTGAATCCAGGAGGAGGCCCTTTTGGCTTTGATCCTGATTAGCAACAGTTTTCAAATGCTGGGAGTTAAGCCAAGTGTTGGAATTTAAGAACATAAAATCTTAATGTTTTACACACTTAAATCTAAAAACTGTGGGTAAGGGAAGGGTAGTTGGAAGATGGCCTCAGAAGAAAATAGCAGTAGCAGCCAGGTCTTGTCTTTTCACTCTTTCTCGCAGGTCTGGGGAGATCAGACTTAACCTGGTGCGGAGTCTTCTACACATCAGCAACCCTGCCAATGCTATCCCTGCAGTTGCATGTAGGGTAGTCCTATAGTTAAACAGAAACCATAACAGCTTGGTATCTAGTGAGGTTGTAGGCTGTTCCTTCACTTTCCAGCCTTCTGTCTCTACTTTTGCCCATAATACAAAT